GATATCCATGAGGACCAATCACCTGGTTCACACATCAGAAGTAGTATGGATTGTATTATCCCAGTAGCACATACCCTATTTCTGGGAGCTTGGGATCTCAGAGAATCTCTGCCATCAGGATGAACATCTAGCTCATATACCTGAGCTTCTGTTTCTGTTTCCAGGTGGCGAAGATTATTGCGAGCATTCAGTCTGGTGCAAAAGATAAGTCCGGATATTCCCCACAGTAATATTGTATTTACCCAGCCATAAGTGAGTTGGAGTATACTGAAATCAACAGTGTTAGTTGCATAAAACATGGAGAACCTTGGAGGACCTTTTGCAAGACATGTATACGTGGTTATCCAGATCACTTTCTTTTGTGTCAATGAATGCATGGTAGAAAATTGTGAGTGTGGTCATACAATTATTTTCCATTACTTGCAGCTGGAAAAAAATCAAAATTAGAGAAATCTGGCTGTCATGAACAGACACTCAACATACAAATATCACAACAAGAACGGCAACAACACTGGTGCAGGAACAATGAGATCAAGTTGATAGCATAAATGTGTCTCAAACTTTACCTAGTTACAAGTCCTGTTTCTATAATTTGCTTAAATTAGCAAGATTGATACCTATCACAAGAAAGAAACATGCGGAGTGTCCATCTGATGAGTCTATCCAGTAGCTTCACCGTGCTGACGAAATTGGATTAGACAAACTAAGTTTCTGTCCAACAGATCTTAAATATACCTTTTCATAGCCTCCCTCCGCTCTCTCCAAAGTTTAAATACCAGAATTCCCGCAACAGCAACATCAACAAATGCACCCACTACAAAATTGACAGTGAAAAGCCAATTCCATCGTAATTCGAACATTGTTACTGAAACTGCCTCAATCACGAATCCCACAGCTGCATAGCTGGAGACGAAACGAAGGAAGCACAGAACCCACAGGACAATGGGGATGTACAAAACATTTAAAAATCTGTAGATACGAAGAATATAAAAGGCCTTTTTGTGAAATTATATCAATTCAGGGACATGCTTTTGTTTGCCACTTACCTGAACTACTGCAGTCACTGGGGCTGCAAATGCAACTGTGAGATCAAATGGCAAAGGAAATTTCGAGAGAGTCTCCGGATGTCCATAAAAAGTGATCAGCATAATATAGACCCCACTTGTGACACATATTGTGTGAGCCAATTCACAGATACTATGGAAATAGATCGAGGTACTGTTAATCGTTGATGCAAAGTGTGCTACTAGATGAAGATATATACCACACAAATGCGACCTAGATATCAACTGAACTCAATGATGTTTCAATTGGCGAATGAACCACATACCAAGATTTTGAGAAGAAGCTTGTCTTTGGGATATCCTTTATAATAGAGATACACTTGAACAATGAAGATGCCGAATAATAAGATCACAATAAATGATCCACAGAGCAGTGCACCAAAGGTTAGATCAAGATCTGGTGAAGCAATTCCTGCTGTAGACATCATGGAAAGGAAATATACACCAGCACTATGAAGTCGTCGAAATGATAGCAATTGAACAATGGGCTTTTATATGTAGCCCATCTTGATCTGTACTTATTTTGGTCATGGAGTTGTGCACTGCAGCTCATCTCGTCTCCATCGGATGCACAAACCTCCACCAGAAACCATTCATCCACGATGTGGTAAGAAGCACGGTCAGTGGAGTGATTTGACCACAGCGCGATTGTTGATCAGTATATAATGATCATCTTTCAAAACCACACCTTCAAAGCAGTGTCTACAATTGAGCCCAGAGCTATTTGTGAGAACCAACAAGAATGTATAAGGTAAGTAGCGTTCTTGTCGGAAGTCCAGCGGAGGTTGAATAGTAGCGAGTTGGAATGTTCATATAGGAGATGTCCTTAAAATTCGGGGCTCCGAAGGGGTGTAAAAAGGTGTTGAGAGTTTTATTGTGCAGTGTAATAGTCCTGTAACGGATACACAAAGAGAGAGCAAGATTGAAAAATGGGAGGAAAGTAGATTAAGGATTTTGAAGAAATGTGCTGAGAAAGGCATTCCATCAAGATTGACATCCATGTTAATGCATGAAGGAATATTTTCTCAGTGATACACATTGCGGGGGTATAGGCTGTTGGGTTGGTGAGATTATAGGAGGGCTTGGTGTGTTGATTGACATAAAATTTTTGGAAACAAATTCACATTCATTCAGCCTCACAGGCATTGTTGAGTTTCCTTGGGCGGATAGCTTAGCTGTTTACATCTGGATCAAAGGAAAGGCCCGCCACATAATCTTTACATTAGCATTCACTATGCTTCATAGATAATGTTTCATAAGGGCAGGTTGCTCATTTTTCTTTTCTCATTCCATGGCATCTCAGTGCGTACAGTATATGGTCCAATTTAGTCTCAATGATAGCTCTTTTGTATTGTTGTAGCGAAGCCATTTCAATAATACATACTATATTTTTGAAGCTGTAAACGAGTGATCGCTACACAGTCCTCTCAAATACTTCAAGTACATCCAACAAAGATAGAGATAGTCAATAATAAATAACACCACCTGCAATGTTTCCCATCTACCTATTAACAGAACCTCAAGATACCAAGCAGAACCAAAGCACATAACCACGATGACCATGATAAGCTATGAACAAGTGTAGAAGCGGCCGTAGCAGCGTTAGCATTAGCATCGTTAGCCCCGCTACTCGACGACGTGGAAGCCGATGCTGGTGAAGCCGAGGTCAATGATGCTGGGGAAACCGACGTGTTCCCCGTAGTAACAGTTGTGGTGGCAGTAGCGAGGTAAGTTCGTATGTAGGCGATATCCCAGTATGCGTTATTATAAATGGGATTTCCGGTGCCGATGACGTTGTCAATCTGAATACAGGAGAGTGTGATCAGTTTAGCTGGAGGATAGGACACCAATGGTGTAAGATACAAGAGACTTACGCATTGTCCTGAACATCCTGTAGAGTTATAGATCGATGGAACGCCGGCCCTGGAAGAATAGAGCAACGGATATGTGATTCACACAGAAAATGATGAGAGAACCACGCACCACACGCCACAAAGAGTGATATCGATAATGAGCTGTTGAGGCTGGAAGTATTCCGTGATATTACATGCGTTGGATAGATACGCGGCGGTAGGTGTACCCCAATCAGCCAGGTTCATGGGCGAGGAACTATTGGCCTGAGATATCGATGCCGGGAGACTCCCGCGCTACCCAACGAACAAGTTCAATTCCAATTATTTTGAACATAGCGCTATTAAACTCACCGGCCAAAACCACATATAAATCCCACTCACATCCAACTGCGTCGCAAACACACCTCCCCCAGCCTGCGCAAACCCACTTCCGAAACTGTTCGGTTTCTTTTCTTGTACCACACACCCTGCGCCCGTAGAGCAATTCGTTTGAAGGATGCTCCCCGATTGAATTGAGTTCGTGCCTAGGAAACATCCAGAAGTGGTGTGGAGGGCGTATTGGTTTGAATCGAGGTTGTTGATGGCTTCGATGATGTCGATTTCCCCGGAATTCGGCCAGAGGAGGTTGGTGCCGAGCATCCAGAATGAAGGCCAGACCTGAAGGGTAGGGAGATTAGATGAGGATATGGTTAATGAATACACCAACATACGGAACAGCCGTAGGGTATGTGCCAGGTGTCAATAATGACGAGACTACCGATAGGATAGGCGTCCTTTGTAGTGATCTTGACCTGTAGGGAGCCCGTGAGTACGATGTTCAACACAAAGATTGAACAAACACACCGAATTCCTGTTCACCGTCGCAGCAGCCGTTATATTCGTCGTGTTATCCACCCGTATTATCGCATGGTTGGTGTTTGGGTCGATGTAAGTCAGCCGCTGCGAGGCTCCAGTGCTTTGATCGACGTAGTCGACGTTACCTGTAAACGAATGAAGATACGATACGAGTAAGTACCGTGTCACAAAATAATCGAAGCCTAATAACGCACCCCAAGTCGTATTGTCGATATCTCCGTAATAATCCCACTCTGAAAAGAATTCGTTACCGGAGTATTCACGAATTGGCGTGTATATCGCAGCGGAGAGCCGGAAGAGGCCAGGGAGCAGAAGAAGGGTGAAAGGGAGGAAGCGGAAGGTGCTAACTGACACAGTTTTTGCCATACTCGGGGGACGGAATGACTAGAAGGAAGGCAAATATAAAACAATGGACCATGAGGGTTTATCTAGAGTTTAGATAGGTCACAAACATGTTATTCCATCCTGATCCCATCTTTTGGAGGCATACAGTCGATACTAATTTGTGGGTATCGATTGCATTGTAAGCACCGTTCTCGGTGGAGGTAGGGTATTCGGAAGAGCATTCCAGTCAAAGTAACGATAAGTAGTGTTCAGTGAACATTTTGAGGCATGGTAGAAGCTGAGTAGAAGCATTTCGAGGAGATGCGAGTCGGTTAAAACAAACCGAGGTGGGAGCGTGGGCAAGGCACAAAGGAGTCCGGTCACCTTTCTGGGCACCGTCCCGAAATTTCTCCCTCGTTCCAACTTTTCAACCTTCAATGATTTAGGTCCTCATATGGGTTCCAGCTTCGCAAGTATTCCAGACGCTTCCTTAATGACCCTCGGGCTCGGGTGTACTGTACACTGGTTTGTGATTCATTGGGCATCCGGAGTACTACCATCATCCGAGTCCGCTCAGTTCCTGAACTTGAACCTCAAAAGATTTCGGAATTTCATTGAATCTTATCTCTTCCCGCCCTGGACGACCCTCACAGCCGGCGAAACGCACACTGCGGGTACCCTCGTGTACCCTCGTGTACCACGAAGGAAGGATTGCTTGAAGACATAATAGTCGTTGAGTCGTTGTTGAGCTCGAAGTCACTGTGAAACTCTTTGATTATCCTACTCTTACTGACACAGTTTTTGCTGCGGTTATCTATCGATATATTTTTTTGCTGGACGAGCTTGAATCAAGGATGCGATTTGTTTAGTATCTTTGGTTGAGTTTACGCCTCCTCCCCATATATCCAATGTGGTGTAGTGGCCAACATTGCTGTCTTTCATTAGATTGCACAGCAGCCCGGGGTTCGATTCCCCGCATTGGAATCTTGTTCTCAAGTGCATCTTTTACACTAATCCCCGCATTGGAATCTTGTTCTCAAGTGCATCTTTTACACTAATCATTTTTGTAAAGTATTTCATCGTAACGCAAGCCTACGATAACAGGGCTACCATATTGATGAAGTCCGTCCTTCCATTCCCCTTACATCGGGGTTCATGCTTTTCATGCATACTCTCCTCCCCATTCACTGACACTTACTGGACCATTTTCGTCCTTTCCTGCTGCGAGGGAAAGGCTAGGATTTAGATTCCTCGTCTCCAAGCTCGTCCGTTTGAGAATCTTCCGCAACACCTGCATTCAACTCGATGGCAGTATAACCAGAGCAGTTCACAAAGGAAGGTCATACGTTAACCTGTTCAGTTTGATCACTCTACCGCGCAAAGCGATAGTGATACACAAAGAGTGACCTGAAGAACGAGCGACATAGTGCTGGGTGATATCAAGCTAATGGGAGACACAACAGACCTGGGGGGTTTGTGTACTCTGAAGAACCTGAGTGAAAGGTGCCGGTGATTAGTGCAATTCTAAGGTGACCGGGGATCACTCACAAATGGAAGTATCTGCCCGTATCATAGCAAATGCCCTATCTCCAGCATGTTCGACCCCCCCCAGCGAGGTTAGAGACAATTTAATTTTGCGTACTGTCCGCTTTTGGTTTTATTGTCTATGGAGGTATGGAAGAGGTTGCTGAGTGTTGGTTTGTGGATAAAGCATGCATGATTATGCGTGGAACAGCCATTATCCGACAGGACTACCAATGCGATACTAAGCATTCTTGGCCTGAGTACAACATTGCAATAATGACTAGGTAAGGGTAAGTATAACTAACGCACCAGATCTCTGATTGCCACTTTAACCACTTGCATTTTCGTATTCAGGTCGACGACATGCTTTCTATCTGACTAAATGGCAGAATAAGCGTAATGACTCACCTCAACTCCAAGTAATACTCCCATTCTGCCGAGAAGTCAGAAATCCGCTGGACGCCAGGAAGCCTGAGGAAGCCAGTGGCATAACACTCTCAAATTGTTTCTGAAAGCCTTCAGCTTCAAGAAAGGTCTTGAGGAGCTTGAGGCCTTGCATCGCCTTCGTGAAACAGTGAGAAGAACCAGTGTGGGAATCTGGGATTTCCACAGTTGGTACGTAGATTCTACCTACACTCCCACTCCCGCTCCTTCCTTTGTTCAAACTTCCAACCCGCATCCAACGTCCAATATCGTGCCCTCAATAGGCTGTAATTGCATATCCTCCTGCCTCTTTCGAACGGTCGCTCAGCTCTCCAAGATGTGAATAATTCCTGCTCACCGACATCTGAGTGCCATGACAATTGTTCACCGTTAAGAATTCCAGGTCCAATCTGATTATCTGTGCAGAAAATCTCGGTACTTCCTTGTAGTCTTCATCAGGTTCCTGAATTTACGCTTTGGTATGTACGACGTCGATGAGCACTGAGCTGTCCCCGACCGCTTGTATTATCTTCCCATTTCAATAGTGAGGCCAAGTGACTCGCTATACCTACAACCTACATAACGTCTTTTATGAAAGCAGTTTTCGTGCAATATTGTGCGTCTCCACGTATTTTCTCAGCCATGTGCCTGTATTACTATCAATGGCTCTGCCTTTATGCTCTAGCCATCTGCAATATGAGGGTCTCCATCATTGATCTACCGAATTGATGATATGTAGATTGTATTGAAATCGTTCTGCTCTATGCAGCTTGATATTGAATAATGCATATTGCTTATGATGACTTTGGTCGTGTACTAATTGGAGATCGGCATCATCTCACTTGGGGCTCTTCCCTCAAGGAACCAGAGCTATGTCACAAGAGAATTGGATTCTATCTTTGGGGAGTCCCGGACGGGGCTCCTGCATAGTGACCAGCTGCTTCCCAACTAGTGACCAATGCCTTCCAACTTACTTACCGATTATGTACCCCTACTGACCAACCGCTTCCAAAGCACTTGCTGCTTCCCAACTAGTGACCAATGCCTTCCAACTGACCTACCGATTATGTACCCCTACTGACCAACCGCTTCCAAAGCACTTCCCAACTGCATCTACTTTGTTGTTTGTCAGCTTCTACATACAGCTGCTCAGCTCCAATCTTATGTTATAAGTATATCCAATGATTGTTCACGTCAAGAATTTTGTATCGGAACTTGTTGAATACATGGATTGACAGTTTATATTCTAAAATTCATTGGGATACATTGACTTTACAATCGACAGGGCATTAATCCAAAGTTGTATCACTTCCTGCTCACGGGGCAGACGAATGTAATGACTGAGTTGCTGATTAAGGGAAGCAACATCTTCTTCAGTAAGAAGGGTCGATGGTGGACTTACAGCAACCTCGTTGAGGTCCGGAGGAGGGCCTCGGCGTCCAAGCCAGGAACCTGATCCCTCATGAGCATAGTTCGTCCGGAGCGTTCGCAGCAATGTTTCATCTTGTAGGCCATCCCAATCTACCCCAAATACTTCGAGTTCTTCATCTGTCATTGTGAATTGTTCAAGATTGTCGCCTCGAATGCCATTGACAAGGGAATCAAATACGAACATGTCCTCTGGGCTACGGGCTGGACCATGACGCTGTGAAACTCGGTGACTGTTCCAAGATTCAGCCCAAAATGAAAGTTGGTCATTGATCATTGGGAGGAAAATATGCTGGAGTAGCCATATGTGATTCAGATTTGAGACTTGGAGTCCATGATGGATTTCGAGGAGGGTAAACATATCATGCCAGGTCTGGCTGCAATAATGGCTAACATCAACCCATAAACGCTCTATGCGAACATTATGAACAGACCTAGTGGAATGAGAATATTAGTACACTACTTCGATCAATTTCAAGGGCAATAGTATACCTCCCCCAAAGATATGAGCCACGCCCTTCTCCCCGGGCATGCTCCATGAATGCTGCAACCCAGATGTTTTCAATACCATGGTCTCCACGGACACGTAAGGGAAGCTGATATTTTTCTGCTGCTGATAAAAAAAGCGATAAGACGGTCTGACCACGATTGTTGTTACTTGCTCTTAGTCCAGTTATAAGGCGTGAATATCCATCAATGAAGCCATGTATAATGATACCCCAACGGATAAGGCCTAAATTACATGGATTACAGATCACTTGGTTAGAGAGCAGAGAAATACTTACGATGATGACCATCATGGTGCCACAAGGAATTTGGTCCTGGCACTGAATATCCTCGACGGCGAATTCTGATACGGTCAAAGACCCGGTGGATAGGATCAATACGGATAAGTGAATGGCGAATGCGCTCATATGGAACCATGATATTGAGACGGCGTAGCATTCCATCAAGTATTTTAATGCCTGCTTGGTGAAAATGAACACGTAAACGTCCTAGCAAGGAGTCCAATTGATCATCGGAGATGCTAGTGATGTAGCCAGAGGAGGATGAAGATGGTATCATAGCTGCTTCGGCTTGCACATCATCTGGTAGCCATTCTGGTTGTGGAGCTTCAGCATTGAGCACTTCATCCAGATTGCCTGGATGAATAGATGTTTCATTTGTTGTGAATGGAGTGGCACCTGGAGAAGCAATCCCATATTCAAGAAGACGTCGCCGAAGGGTCGAACGAGGTACATCAAGAAAATGGCTGAGACCTGCTGTGGTACGATGACGGTAGGCAAAACGGAGGAAGTCTGGATCGATAACTGTACGAGGACGTCCGGGGCGTCCTGTGTATTCTGTGTGTACAACTTCAGGTCTACCTGAGTGCGATGATTCTGTGGACCGTTCATGCAATGCTCGAACATCTAGAATCATTATTTGGAGACTATTTTGTAGAATTTGGGCTTCATTGGGTTCAAATATGGCTGCATGCTGATAGATAACATTACATTAGAAATGAAATAACAAGAAAACCAGGCTCTCACTTCACGTGCAAGCTGAGAAAACTGATTGAGGTCCTCTCCAAGAAGCTGCAGCAGAAATGGATCTGTTGGTTCAGCATGAACCTGAGCAACAACGGCCTGAAATTGTGCATAGTGATCTCGGAATGAATCTAGAAGACTTGTGGGATTTAAGGAATCACCAGCAGTAGGAACTTCTGGAGCAACCGTCAATGGTATAATACACAAAAGCACCCAGATCCAATATTCAACCAGAGGCAATATCAGCATAATGAACGTCTGGAAGAAAAGGCGATCCCGGACAATGAAGCCCCTGAAGTGCCAATTCCATCTAGGTACCGGCATAACTAATAGAATTCAAATCGCTTCAATGATGCTGTTCATTGGCACCCTTGTCCGCTTCTTCTGAAGTCAAACAATAGATTTTGACTTCAATCCGGTATAGTAAGCTACAATATTCTTATGTTTGGAATATCTCCTTTACAAAGAGTGAATGGAGTGAGCAGAGTAATTTCGGAAATCTTAAATGTATAATTGAATGTTTCATTTAGCCATCAAGCTTCTCCGATCGAACTTGGGATTGAATGGATAGTTATTTGGTATGGTGGGTAAGTTTCTAAGTTTAAATACGCACTGTCTTGTTTCGTTTGTTCCCTTTCTTCTTCTTCCTTTGGCTATACACAGTATCAATGATGGATTCTGCAGGATACACTAATCACAACTACTATGACCTCATCCTCCAGCCAGCCAACATTGATGTTCCACAACCTGACGACTTCAACTCTGCAATAGGTACTTCAGGGAATATTTGTCAGCGACTGGTTCTAGTAACGGATGTCACCAGGCGTCACACTCAAGAAAACCTCAAACAGCGGGGCGATAAAGAGAACAAGCAAAGTTCTGGACTAAACCAGGTAGAATAGACGAGATCAAAGCTAAGGAAATACAGCAAGTAACTACAGCTTATATACAAGTAAACAACCCTCTGCCCTAGTAATGCCCAACGCCCTGGGTTAGTGGTAAACATGAGTAGAACATAAGTAAAGCAATGTGTAAGTAATGAAAGCTCGATCGTCATGCTGTATATGTGTTGTAAGACTG